CCAACCCTGCCTGTAAACACGTGAAGGGTTGGGTTGTACCAACAGTGCAATGCAGTAGCTTAAACTGGGGAGAATGGACCAGATCCCCAAAATGAGACTTCATCTCACCGTTCGGTGAAATATGGTACAGACAGCTGTTCAGTCGTATGGTGCACTTGTCATGGTAGTTGTGGGACAGTTTGCTGAAGTGAAGCCTGCATGACATTGACCGTCGTATAACAGCAGAGGAGCAGCTGTCAGAAAAGGTTAACATATTAAGGCTCTAAAAATGACGAGTCCCATGTGGATTCGCTTGCATGGCACACCCCCTCCTGTCTATACTGCACCATCTGCTCTAATCAGCTACAACATAACACATGGGACCACCACCTCATGTGTGTTTGTGTTGTACACAATATTAGACCCAGATTCCTCTCAAAACTGCAGTAGCATTATGTTATATGTATATTTTTACTGTATGTCCTCTAACCACAAAACCACTTCAGTTACTTTCAGCTCAGTGATTAAAAATGAGGTGACAAAATAGTTGTTTTTTTTTCTTCTAGCGGGACAAAAGCTCTTTGATTTGCCCTCAGAGACATCCTCCCCATCCTCCCTCTCCCAGTCTACGTAGCACTCTACATTATTCACAAGGCTAGCTGTGAATAATTACATTAATATTTGAGTTTTCCTTTGTCATCTTCCCTTTGTAGTTCTAACCAGGCTGTCGGCCTGCAGGTACAAGTGTTTAGTAGAAAGAGGAAAACAAGTTGCCTCTTTGGAGACAGAACTCGTCTGTTTGGTTGATGCAGGTCCATCCAGAAGCTGGAAGAGCTCAACGTGGGGATGGAGAATTTGGGAGAAGAGGTAAAGTCTCTGACGCAGCAGTGTAATGGCAACGGGAACACGCCCGCCTCCGAGGACAATAACAACCCTCCGTCTGTAACCCCCGAGCAGAGCCGGACCCGAGGGGGAGGGGTGCTCAGCAGCACCCCGCAACGCACCGTAGGGGGTCGGCCTGTGCCGCCTCCAAATGAGTCCCCTGTCGTCACAATGAGGTTTGTGTGAGTTTGCTTTTGTTTGTTTTTGTTTTTTAAACCTGCTTGTTGAATTACTGACCCCTGTTTTTCGTTTGTTCGTTTTTTACAGTGGGCAAAAACCAAAAGGAGGCCAACAAGGTGACTCTCCCGGCTCTTTATCCCGAATTAAAGAGGTAGGGACGGACACACACACACACACACACACACACACACACACACACACACACACGGTGACAGCAGAATGACAGCCGTCACTAGAAATAACAGTTATGACAGACCTGGTGTTAATAATCAGTTGCAGGTTGTTACTCAGGTGTTACCCTTAGTTTAGCTCTGACCTTGTGTGGTGTGATTTTAAAGTTCAGCACATTCTCTGTTGTTTACATTGTACTTTACTGTAAATGATCCAGTGTAATGCTAATTTGGCTAAGCGGATTATAACAGTTTTATCTGAATGGCAGTGATGTCACAGCAGTATGCATGTCATAGGGTAGAGAAGATCAGGTGAGATTACAGTGCTGTAATCTCATTGCTAATGTGTGTTTTTCGTATATGCCGTGTTTTCAGGGTGACAAAGCAAAAAGCCTGTTTGTACCGGTGCATTCTTTGGAAGACACTCAGGCTATTCGAGCCGTTGCCTTTCACCCGTCTGGAGCGCTGTACGCTGTGGGCTCCAACTCCAAAACGTTACGCGTGTGCGCTTATCCAGAGACGCTCGACACGAGGTAACAAAAATCAAAAAACAGAACACATTACAGCTAATTCAGGGTCAGATCGCTATAAAACACAAACTGTAGATACACAGTGAATGTTAAATGTTAACAGATTTTTGTTTAGTATGATCCATCACATCTGTTAAAATCCATCTTTTTGTTTCTGATCCTTTAAAATATGAGTGAAAAGTAGACTTTTTAGTACCTTTTAATGACCACATAACAGCCAGCAACTAGATACGCAATACACATTTTCCCCTAGCGACTGGTGGTTGCCATGTGGTCACTGATCTGTCAGTTAGCTTATAAACTTCCCTTCCATATTAGTTAAAGTTAGGGTGTAAATAGTTGGAAAGTTCAAACCAGTAACTGTTTATTTTCATATCTGCATACAGTAGCTAACCACCTTTTCCTCTCCTCAGTGGTTCAAGTCCAACAAAGCAGCCGGTGGTTCGCTTTAAGAGGAACAAACACCACAAAGGGTCCATCTACTGTGTGGCCTGGAGCCACTGTGGGCAGCTGCTGGCTACAGGCTCCAATGACAAATATGTCAAAGTGCTGCCTTTCAGCGCAGAGACGTGCAACGCCACAGGTAAGCGTCCTCAGCGTGAATGTGTGGTGGTCGTCCCGTTTGTGGCATTGCCAGTGTTCTCATTTTTGTTTATTTTTGTGCATCCTAGGCCCAGACCTGGAGTTTAGCATGCATGACGGTACCATAAGAGACCTGGCCTTCATGGAGGGGCCTGAAAGTGGAGGAGCCATCTTGATCAGTGCCGGGGCCGGAGACTGTAACATCTACACCACAGACTGCCAGAGAGGACAGGGTCTGCACGCCCTCAGTGGACATACAGGTAACTGCTCCATCCCTCCATCTGTCCAGCACAAATCAAAGTGGAAGTCAGAGAGAGTAAGGATGATGCTGAAAGTGGACAATGTGTAATCTCTCTTCAGGACACATCCTGTCTCTGTACACGTGGGGCGGCTGGATGATCGCTTCCGGCTCTCAAGATAAGACGGTGCGTTTCTGGGACCTCAGAGTGCCCAGCTGTGTGCGGGTAGTGGGAACTGCTTTCCATGGCTCAGGTTTGGCTCGCATCATGTGTTTCACCTCTTAATATAGCAAGTGTTTGGGAATTGTGAGCCAAGATACCAGAAATAGTAAATGTTATCATTGGTTCTGTTGTTCTCGATTTGAAAATAATGACAGTTCATACAACTACACCCCTTCTTTACTACATAGGGAGTCCAGTTGCCTCAGTCGCAGTTGATCCTAGTGGCCGTCTCCTAGCAACAGGACAGGAAGATAGTGCATGCATGCTGTATGACATCAGAGGAGGACGCATCGTCCAGGTGTACCGGCCGCATGCCAGTGACGTTCGGTCCGTTAGGTTTTCCCCCGGAGCGCACTACCTGCTCACTGGTTCCTATGACACAAAGGTCGTGGTCACCAACCTCCAAGGTATGTCTACCTTCAGAGCGCATACAGTGGTTGCATCTGGATACGATGTGGTATAGCTACAATAGTTAAAACATCTGTAACAGCACTTAATTCAAAGAATCACTTCAAACAGAGTTTAAAAATGTTTCATTAAAAAGCCACTCTTGTTTGATCACTAACATCTGGGGGAAAAAACTATCTTTTGAGTCTTAATAATCATAATTGTAGTAATAATAATAATAATAATAATAATGATGATGATAAGTATGCCTGTTTTATAGAAGGTTTCCCCACCTCCTTTAAATAAAATATAAATTAAAAGGATGATTGTGAGATTGGCTCCAGGTCTGCCACTAGAGGGGACTGAGTTACATCATAGGTAGATCACATTTGGACGTGTCCAAGTTTTAACCATTGAGCTGTAGATTCGAGGTGAAGTTGGAAGAATATGGAGGTAATACTCCTTTATCATTATTCCATTCACTTTGTGCAATGTCCCAACATTAAACAACCCAGAGCAGGATGCTACCACCAGCATGTTTGACAGCTGGTACAGTGTTCTTAGGGTTGAACGCCTCCAAATATACTGCACCTCTTGTCACTGTGGCCAAATAACAATCTTTGTCTCGTGTGACAGTAAAGAATTTGGTTTATCCATGTGGGAAGCTAGTTAAGATGTCGCAGATCCTTTAACACATATTAAAAGATTTAAGAGTGTATGTATATATTTGAGGCCACATGTTAGAGAAAATCCAGAATCCACACCCTTAGCACGTGTCTGATGGTTTTCTGCCTCCTCCTCCGTCTCTCTAGGTGACCTGACCAAACAGCTGCCTCTGACCGTGGTGGGAGAACACGGTGACAAAGTGATCCAGTGCCGATGGCACACACAAGACCTGTCCTTCCTCTCATCCTCTGCTGATCGCACTGTCACACTTTGGACACACAATCCATAACACACACACACTTGTATGCGCACACAAACACACACATACACACAGAGCCAGTTGTTTCTATCTGACACATTCCCCTAAAATATTACTGCTCCTCTGCATTGTAAACACTGACCCACCCTTACACACACAGACACACACACACACTCGTAGGTACACAAACTGGTGAACAAGCCTTTCCTTCCTGTCTGTAGTAAAGCAAATGGGACTCACACCTGGGACACATCAAAAGCACACTTGTTGCATGTTCTCCTTTCTTGATCACCACACTGAGGAGTAAAACTGCAGGATTCTTCGTCGTTCTTCGTCCTGTAATTCCCCCTGCGTTTTTGCTCTCTGCTCACACCAATCAGTTGCTGCATGTCCTTTTTCCTAAAGGGATGAGTAGGAGAGACAGGACAGGAGTGCTTTGTTCATGATGGTGCCTTCCTTGAGTTCTCAGTTTCCATAACAAAAACAAAACAAACAAACAAAAAAAAAAGTCCTTTTTTTAAGATCAAATTTTGTTAAGTCATTTTGAGAATCATACATTCCTCTTTTTGCATATCATTATTTTTACAGCTGGTGAGACGCTGCTATTGTTTAAGAAAGACAAAAATTTGATGTAAAATGTAGTTTTTCCAGTGTTTCAGTAGTGAGCTTTTCCTCTCAGGAGGCCGAATCTATGGAAGTCAGGCTATCTTGTGCTTCCCCGTGGGGTGTCTAACATTACTGTATGCACTGTATTACTGCAGCTCCAACTGTGTAAACGAGCTAGTGTGTTTAAATTTAAAATCAGTGTTTGTTTTTTTGTTTTTTTTCTTCTTTTTTTTTGCGCTGATGCTGTTCCGGTGTCTTTGCAGTGGCTTGCTCGTTACTATGTTAGTATCAAAGGGAAGTACAGCATGTGATTATTGGTTGGGCGCCCTTGCATTCAGTTTGGATTTGGCTGTGCTCAAAAGCTTTGGCTTGTCTACTGCTGTGTGTGTGTAATATCAGTAGATGGCAGTCTTTTCCCCAAACAAGGGTCTGACCATATGCACAATGGAATCTGGATAGAAGCACGGGTGTTTTGATATTTATTTAGAACCCGTGTTTGGGGCATATGCATATTATTTTATTTTTTATTTTAACCTGCGCACTTTGTCCTTTTAACATCATCTTCTAATATTGACTTACTTGCAGAGATGCATATTTAAGTTTATATGTTAATGTATAGTATATATTATTTTAACAACGAAGGCCAAACTAATACGTACATAGATGTATTTATTTCAGTTGTGTTTATGTATGTACAGTTAGTTTTTGAAATGCTAGTGGCTCTTGTATTAAGCCTTGTTTTTAAAAGTGACAGATGAGTTCAAGCTAACTGAAGTCTGACTGCTGGTACGTTCAATAAAGTGTCTTTTACACAAACTTTGCATTTTGTTTTTTGCTTTTCTTCTTTGGATTAAATACTTGATGCCGAACATTTTAAAATAAGTCATGATGGCTACATGAACAGACATGTTTTATTCCTCTGAACTCACTCATAATATTTAGTACAAAAGGGTAAGAGACACAGACTGTACATGGGTTAAATCCATACTTTATCAGTTTGCTCATATTAGCTTTTGTAAGTGCCTCCTGTGCGACTTCAGGAACTTAACTCAAACAAAAACCCTTTTCAGACACACACTCTTCTCAATGAGATTCATAAAGCACCATGGTCACTTTTTCATGAAAAGTTTCCACAGAAATCAGAACAGATCACACCTTCAAACATTTACATTTTACTTTCAACATGGCACAACTCAGAAACTCCATGAAATCACATCAAACAGACACGCACAAGACACACACACTGCCATGTATGCCATATCTGTAAAGGGCTGTAATACATGAAAAGAGTGATTTAAAACACCACTATGAGTATACCTCTACTACTTCATAGCAGTGGGACGGCAGTTCATGGGATAAGAACAATAAATACAAACATACCTGCAGTGGTGTATTTAAAAATACACAGGGTGAAGTGAGAGTATGCAGCAGTACAGAATTATTAAAAACAATTATTAAAAAAACACTTTTGTCCCCGATGCTACTCTGAGTTCATCTTTGTACAAGCTGTGCGAAAAGTCCTTGTTAATCTGAGTTCCCCCGCCCCCCACACTGTCAACTGCATACAGTGCTGATAATGCTATGTGTTGTCCTAAAGGACAAGGAAGTGATCACTGGTCCATCACGATACTGTCCACACCTTCATTAAACAAAAGACCTCACAGTCCCTTTAGTGCTTTGTTTAGTTGGAGCTTGGTCTAGATGCAGCGTTTGCAGCAGAAGGCAGGGTGACGCGTTGTTCGTCCATTCGTTTGGCCTGCGACCGCATGATGAGGCTGAAGAAGTCCTCATCTGGTACGGTGGGCCCTCGGACTGGAGGAGGGGGAGGAGCACACCGCTGGTCATCCAAACGAGAGCCCTGGAAGGAATACGGTGAAAGCAAAGAGTATGACTTTGATGTCTGAGTAACAGGATGTTTATAATCTTGTTTCTAACTTTTTTTTTGTAATATACTTTGCTCCTTTGTGCAGCTGATCTCTTGCAAGGTAATAAGAATCCTGCCTCCTGACCTCTGGCTACAACAAACAGACATCACTCCTCTACTTATGTTACACCGGCTTCCTGTTACCTCCAGCATCCACTTCAAAAACATCATTCTTGAATAGGATGGGTGCCACTGTTAGGACTCTTTAACTACACAATTATTTTAAATAGGAGCTAAAATATTTGTGTTTGTGCCGGTGTTTGAATATCAAGTGTGCCCACCCAGCACTATATAAATGTGTATTAGGAAACTATTCAGTAAACTATGCTCTTTCTGTTACCTGGCACTTGACAAGCATATCAAAGAAGTCATCATCAGGCTCAGCGCTGTCAGCGTTGGCCATCAGGTGGCTGAGCACGGCCTGGTTGCTGTTTTGGTTGAGCCTGAGTCCTGGCAGGCTCCCCCCTGCTGCTGATGACTCCTCTAAGCGCCTGCCCTGAGCGCCTGACACATTGGCAGACTCTGACATGGCTACAAATTAAGATAAATAATTACGCAAATTATAAATTATTTTAACAGTGGTTATATTTTTTGTGTGGTTGGATTGCATAGACCTACATTTCCTGATGGTCCTGGGAGGCGACTCTGGGCCGCTGTTTAGCGATAACCTGCTGCCTCGGTCCTGTATCGAACATCGCTGGTCATCCATGCGGTTGCTCTGGAATCGACTCAGCAGGTCAAAGAAACCGTCGTCTCCGAGCATGTCGGGGCTGAGTCGCTGGAAAACAAAAACAAACAACTTGAAAAAAATAAATAAAAATAAAACAGCAAAAGTTGTTTGAATTCCCCAGGTCTGCGTACTTTTTGTGGTCCCTGTGCAGGTGGCTGACTGGTATCCAGGGTATTGCTGGTGTCCTGGAGGACCTTACTGGAGCCGCCAGACTTGTACTTCTTCCCTCGCAGACGGCCAACAAAGAAGAGCTTGGAGGAGCTCTTAGCCAGCGAGGGTTTGGACTGTTTGGTCAAGATGTCGCTGTTCCACTTTTGACCCTTCAGCACAGAAATGGATCACAATCATCACAAGTTCAATAGCAAAGGGTGATGTAACAAGAAGCACTTCTTGTAGGGGTGTGAGCAGAGTGGTACAGTGGAGCAGCTCTTACATTTACTTTGTCTGGAGTGAGCTTCACCAGCTCCAGGTTCTCCATGCTGTGTCGTTTGCTCATCCTGGGCCTGGCTCCTGTAAAACAATAACAATGTTACGTAATCTACACATTCAAAGCATCTGAAATATTATAGCAAGGGGCATAGGGAAGGTCACACAGTTTTTACCGTGCAGGCTGTAGTCGATATCCTTATTTTCGGAAACAGTGGAGGTATTTGTGCTGTAGCTCAAACCCAAAAGTGTCTGGAGATCAGATACATTCATACGAGCTGTCAGCTCCCCGCTTCTGTCTCCAGTCTGAAAACAACAACAACAACAAAAAAACAGAAGGAACAAACCAACTGTTAATTTGACTGCTGAAGGATTTCTGTATCTGTTCTTAACAAGTTTGCTTTGAGTACTTCTGAAATGCTTTGCTGTGAAGATAGTCTGAGCAGTGCATACCTCTCTGCAGATCTCCAGGTGTTTCTCAGCAAAGTGCATGGCTTGGTCATGGTTTCCCAGTGCAGTGTAGGCATTTCCAAGACTCCAGCACGCACGGCCCTCACCAATCCTACAAAATGAAACCATACACAAGCAAATACTATTTAACTGTGGCATAGTTACGTCAAAAGAAGCATCATAAAACCTGGTGTTTGCATCTGTACCTGTCATTGAGGTCTTGAGCTATGATGAGATGTTTGAGGTGATAGTCTATGGCTCTCTCATAGTCCTGCAGAAGTGTGTAGGTGTTGCCGAGACTGTAGCAGGCCTGAGCTTCCACGGCTCGGTCCTTTAACTGCCTCGCCAACTGCAGTGTCTTCCTAACAAGCAATCAGACAAGATGCTTCAAACAATGCACACTGGCTTTATGTTTTCTTCATACAATACAGGCCTGCTTTCCCAGAAGGAGCTCATAGGAACATAATATGATGCATAAATACAATGATAGAATTTTAGATATTGCCACTATTGTGTAAGGAAAAGTGTCTAAAAATGTTACAGTTATTTGATAATTCAATTTCCTCTTTTTGGGGGGGACATGAGACAATCATGGTGACAATGTAGGATCAAGCGATTAAGGATCCAGTCACACTGGCCTAGAGACAAAATGCGGCCAACAACAACAAACATTAATACACATATGTAGGTGTGGCTTACTTGTAATGTTCAGCTGCCACTTCAAATTCCCCCAAAAAGATATACGCATTCCCCAAGTTGCAGTAAGCCCGCCTCTCTGCTGATCGATCCCCAAACTCCTTAGCAATGAGCAAACGCTGAAACAGAAACACTGAATTTTAACATTGTATTTAAAATGGCGTAATAAGTAACTTACTAAAAGAAAACATCATCATGGATGCTCGTGAACTCTTTACCCAAAGTCACTTTTCAGAGTTCACCCTCACCTGTTCATGAGAAGCTACGGCTTTGCGAAAGTTTCCCAGCAGGTAGTGTGTGTTGCCAAGGTTTCCATAAGTTCGACCCTGAGCAGCTCGATCTCCAAGCTCCTTCACTATCGCCAAGTTTGCCCTGACAATGCATATGCAATCAAACGGTCACCCAGCAGCTCGCTTTGTAATACACTGGATACTGACACAACAGTCAAAGTAACAGAACTTGTTATTTCTAATGTTAAATGACTGTGCTTAAATCACACGCTCTCCTTCTTACTCATAGTACTCTGCTGCTTTCCTCAGTGCCATCATGACATCTTCTGGAAAATCTCCGGGCTCAGCTCCGCTCCAGCAGATACTTTTGCCTTTGGCATGGTACACATTCCCAAAATTATAGAGTGCCCTCGCTTGCCCCACCTAACCGGAAACATGAGTGGTGAAGATCACTTTCTTCTGAAACTCTCAAATACATGAATACAAATATCTGACTTTTATTCTTTATTGCTTATTTTCTCGAATACGTTGCCTCACCTTGTCATTCATGTCTCTGGCTATGTCCAAGTGCCTCTGACAGCAAACCACAGCCTCATCGAACCGACCCAGCACCTTCAATGTGTTGCCGAGGTTACCGCTGGCTTTGGCCTCTCCGACCAGGTCGCCAATTGTCCTGAACAAGACACGTCATGCTGTTAATAAATAAACATTGTGCTGCACTCAGCAGGGCCTTTTAAAGAGCTGTTTCTCATGTGTCCAACCTCGTCAAGGTGAGATCGTGCCTGTGGAACTCCAAGGCCTTGGCATAGTCATGCAGGTGGAAGTAGGCATTTCCAAGCTGGCTGTAGATGGCACTGAGCACCTGGAGGTCCTCTGTGCCCACTTGGATGGCAGCTTCAAAAAAGGAGACGCCTGCTTTGTAGTCACCCACCTTACAAAGGCGCTCACCCTCCAGCGCCAGCTCCAGGCAGGACACCTCCATCCTAAAGCAGAGAGGAGCACAGTCTGGACTTCTCTTCTTCAAAAACATTAAACTCTAAAATCTCCTCGTCCTCTAATCGACAGCCAAATGGCTCCGTTCACGACTGAAAAACAAAACATCCTTCGAAGCAAAGGCTTTCAGCAAGTGGGAATGTTTAGCCACTTCCTTCCATCTACAGAAAACAATAGAGCTTGTTTATTATAGTAGATCTCACATCCTTTTGACCTACCCCAGAAAGCAAAACAGGTTCCTTTTCCAATCAGCTGAACCAAAACTGAACCTTTGATATTCAGTATTTGTAATGTTTGCTGCTGTTGCTTTAGAACTTTAAACACCTTATAACACATTGTTTAAAAGATCTGTGCTGACAAA